GCCCCCAGCCTCGCTGCCCGGAATAGGCTCCATCTCGGGCTCGGCCTCGCCGGCCCCCCCATCGCCCGGCACCGCGGCAGTCGCCGCCGCCTCCGCAGCCATAGCCGCCATTTTCTCTGCTGCTTCACCACCGCCTCCCTCCAGCAGCGGGATCGATAACCGCGGCCTTCCCCGCCCGCCTGGGAGGGAGAGCCCGCCCCCAGGCTCGCATCCGGCAGCCTATTGGAGGGCGCGGTGCAGTTTTCTGCGTCTACTGGAGAGCGGAGTAGTCCGTCAAGCCCAGCGGGAACTTCTCGTTGGCCAGCGGGGACTTCATTCAATGAAGAGTCGGGAAGAGGAAGAAGGGGTGTGGCTTAGTGCTTTACAGGCCGTTACAAATTAGAGGGGCTGGGCCTCTAGCGCTGCCCCGCCGTCTCATTGGCGGCAGGAGGAGCCGCTCCCGCGGGAGGCTGCTAATTGGCGGCGCCAAACGTCTGTCAGGGCGGCGCGAGGCAGGGGCCGTGCGGTGGCCGGCACGCGCGCTGCCGGGCGAGGGCGGGAGGCGGGGAAGATGGCGGGCCCGGCGGTGGGGGCCCTCGGGGGTAGCCCGCCCTGCAGCGGCGCCCCCGGGGGAGAGGCCGCCGCTGCCCCCCAGCTCCTACCGCGCCGCAGGGGCGGGTGCTGCCGGTCTGTGGCGCCACCCGCCCCCGTGCTGTGGGGGCGAGCTGGGCCCTTACTGAGGGGAGCAGTGTGGTGAGCGGGCGGGTCGCTGGGGAGAGGGAAAATGTGAGGAAGGCAGAGGGCCTGGTGTCTTTTGTGAAATAAAGCAACATTTTAAAAGATTAAGTAGCGTGAATTAGGTACATCGGATAAAGGTGAAAAGCGCAGTGTTGAAAAGGGGAGAAAAAGAGTTAACGTTTTCCCTTAAGGCGTTCTGAATCGGTCATTTTTCTTCCTGTGGGATCAATAGTTGCTACCGTGTGGGCATTTTTCCCCCCCAGCTAGGAAACCTTGTATTTCCTAAGGAAAAATTAATGAAAAATGAAAGGTTTTAGTCTGCTATATGCATCATTTTGTATTTTGGGAAGCCGAGTCCTTTGTAGAAAGGAGGGATTTGTTAGAAGGAAGGACAGATGAGAAGGAAAAGTAGGAGCAACTGGAGACATAGACAACAGTGATCTTAAAGCGTGACTGGTTTCATTCTTCCTAGTGTTATTATGAGAGAGATACTGTTCAGCATCAGATGACATTTGCTGAAAAGTAACAAGCCAAATCTGTAAGATTTTCTTTAAAGTATTCCTTTTCTTTCATGTTAGTGACTTTTATTGGCAGACTTCAAAGTTGCTAGCAACCATATGCTTACAATAGAAACAGAGCTACACCCTGGATTGTCAGGTAAAAAACTTATAAATAACAGGCATGAAGATCTAACAAATTTTTTGCAAGAAGGATGAGAAAAAAAAATCCTCAATCAGATTTAAGGCCTGGTACTACACTCACCTTTTTTCTCTTCATTGTAGAAGTGAGTTATACGTAGTTAAAGGACTATAGTAATGCAAAGAATTTTTTTTTAGTAATAATAAATGAGGACATGTTACATGTCTTCTGTAACAGCAAAAAGTTATGCGTAACTGTATGCAAGTAAAACATGATATTGCAAGCTGCTAGCTATAGGATTTAAGTAAGTAGTAAAGGTGTGATTAACTACTCTGTTGTCCTGATCATAGTGGTTTGACTTAATGTACCAGACATAAAGACTCTTCCTTTTGTATCTGGTAGTGGTTTACTTTGCATGGTGAACGTAATGTTTGCATTATTGGTGGTGTAAAGTGTGTAAGGAACATATGGGAACATCAGGAAGAACAGCTAGACATGTTTCTAGAGACAAACACGTTAGAAATAGTTCAAAGAATTTGCTGAAGATAAAACTGCTTAATAAATTTTTGTATGTTTTACCACCATATCTGTTAAATCAATGGTTTGGTCGTGTGGGTGGGTAGAATAGAATGTGTTTATTGGGGAAGGAGTAGTAGATACTGAATTACAAATTTATTTTTTTCCAGCCATGCTTGCAGCTTTGTCAGTCTGTATCACAGAGAAACAGCAGATGGATTCAGCATATGATCTGTGGCTTAAAAGAAATCAGATTTGGTAAGCTTTTCCAAAACTACCTACCATTAGTATTACTTCCTAAATAATTTTGAAACAATTTTGTTAGACCATATTTGTAAAAGATCTGTATTCCGTATCCTGAGGCCATAATACTTTGAAAGATGGCAACTGTCTAGGTGCCCCTAAGGCTGAATGTGTTCTTTGCCAGAATTCTGGAGAATAATGAGAAGATTTGTGTTCCTACTGAGTTACCTTCATTTCAAAGCTATCCCTGTGCAATTTCAGTTTTAATTCAGATCTGAGGTTTCGGGTTTTTCTGTATGTTCTGCCAAGGAGAATGCAATAGTGGCTCTGGAAGGTTCATAGAAGTTGCAAACGATTCGTAAAGAGTTCTCATCTTGAAGCCTAGTATAAAAGAAATGGTCGTGGGAGTGGAAGGAGAACTCTGCTGTTCTTTTCTCTCATTATTTTTGTTCTGTGCGATTATGACAACATATGACATGTAGAAAATGAAGATTGTTTCCCAGAAACTTTTTACCTTATTCAGGTGAGTCCTAGGACAGATTAAAGAAACATATTAGCAAAGATGGCTCATCCGTAACACCAGAACTGTTTTTACGTTGCTCTCCTACGCAAAGAATTTCACTGTGCTTGGAGGTACTCCAACTGTATTTCAACAATAGACCAAGCCATACTCTGCATGTGCAGGACTGTTCTGTGCGCTAGAGGAACGATCATCTGTTCAAATGCTGTTTTCCTTATTACTGTCTTACACCGGTAGTAATCTATTTGTTCATCCCAAGACTAATACTGTGAGGAAAAGGCATCACATTAGCTAGAAGGGCTGGCAAGGTACAGGGATATGTATTGTCATATACTCCATTCTATTTTTTTTTAAATTGTTTTTTTATTTTTTACTCAGAAGACTGAGTACTGTATATCAAAAGCTTATGAACACTTGCACTCAGATAAAAGTTTGCAAAAGCGAAGTTGCCAGACAGCTTTCACGCAGGGGAGGCCAGAACTGTCATGGTCCTTGCTATAAAACAGCATGGCTTGTGTAGATACTTTGTACGGTTGGCGATTTTAATCGTGCTAGCCGGTCAGTTCAGTTAGCCACAGTTCATTTCTCTGGTGCTGCTGTGCCATGGCATAGAAGGATGGCAGTAAATTCTGAGCCTACAAGAAATTACCAACTAATACAAAGAGACTGCTCAGCCTTTGAGCTGATGGGGCATTAAGATCCAATAGCTCAGCCCAGCAGGCTTTTTGTTATGTTAAGTTCAGACTTATGTAGAGGATGGGCGTAAAATGGAAGATTTCCTCTTGCAAGCCTTCAGCGAGGTTAATGGTTACTGAAATCCACCTTGCTTTTCAGCAGGTGTTCCTTATGGCAGACAGTTACCATTAAAATGCTAACTGTCATCTTTTACATCTACTGGAGTCCCCAGCAATCCTTATGCTAAGCATAGGAAACAAATCCGGGTGCATGGCTTGTTAACGCTCTGAAATGTTTCATTGCAATAACAGAGGAGATTACGTGCTTGACCCAAGCAGTTTAAACTACTGGGGGGGGTCTTAAAATAGAATGTAAACAGCTCTTTTGCAGTATCATTTGGATGTTGAAAGGTGCTATATGTGCTTTTAAAAAGAGGTAAATAAGAACGTTTATATACCACTCTAATGGCCAACAGAAATAGGATACCGTAGGTAACCCTTAAATGGAAGTATAACAGCAGGCATGTAGATACAGGATGAAACTTGTAAGCTTAACAAAAAAGTGCTCACTATATAATTTTTTTCCATCCCAAATTCCTTTGATCGCTATTTAATTTCTGTTTATTTTAAACCTAGCCTGTAATCTCGTTAGGACAGGGTTTGTCTTTCTGTGGCTGGTTTGCATAGTGATTGGCAACTGGGGCCTCGTTTCTCTCCTGGAACCTTTAGAAACTGCCAAAATAAAATGAATGAAGTTAATGAAACAAATTGCACTAACACACTTTCTGTAGATTAAAACGAGTCTTCTTCACGTGTTCAGCAAGTGGCAGAAAGGACAGAAGTAGAAAGAAGAAACTATGAATTTCAGAGAGGAACTGATACAATTGGAGGGAATAAAATGATTAATTTGAAGGCAGGAAAAATGCAAACCTCTATGAAGATGCGTTAACAACATATTGGCAGGCTGGGTAGCTGAAGATGTGGTAGTAAGTTTGCGTTGAGCGAGTGAACGGATGTGATGCGGTTGCACGATGCCTGTAAGAAATAGATATGACTGTATGCATGGGTGTACATGGGTGAAAGAATTGTTTCTGTGTGTGTAAGCTGGGACGCGATAAGGATCGGGTCTGGCAGACTTGACTGTTTAAAGGCCTGTGCCGCTCAGTATTAGCGATACTGATTTGTTCTGTCGTGACCAAAATGTATTATTGCACTGACCTAACTATGAATAGAAAAATCTTGAAGTCTGTGAATAGTCACAGCATGTATGTGTGTTTCAGTTAATAAGTGCCTTGGGTTAGAGCGTGTATAGTTTAAGGTGATGTACGGTGGTAACATCGTTCTCTGGGCATCGAGTTCCATAAAGTGCACTACCATGAAAGAGCCAACCCAAAATGCAAGGTTGTAATGGAACAATATACATAAACAGAACATAATCAAGGTTGCAGGGAAGCCAAAGTGCATGATTGCAGCATATCTACAAATACTCAGCTTTCTTGAAGCTAATGTAGCTACCAATAACAGTGAAACTGTGACAGCAGTCTCCAGAATGGGCCGTACCCTGGTAATTGCCTTTTAGCTGGAATTCGTGGTGTTATTGGTATCCAAGCTAGCTGGATATGTATAAGTTCGCTACGCCTGCTCATGCTGCAACTGATCTGTCTTAGTGTAGGCATATGAAAGCTCTAAACGAGTGTGTGGATTTATAGGGAGTGGTTATAGTGTCTTGGTAGGATAGCAGATATTTTTCCTAATGTCTAGACTGGAACATAAGAATTTCAGATTAGAGGTTTACAATTTGAAGTTCTAACAATCTAGCTGAGACTTTGTGACTCCACATATTAAAGAGATTGTGGTTTATATACATCCAATAGCTCCAGTCTTTGCTGGCTCTTCAGTAACAACACTGAGAAATAGTGTACTACAGGAAACATCATACTTTTCTCCCTGCATCAGTCTGAATCGTGGTGGCAATAGCTTCCTGTGACTGCTGTAGTGATAACAATTTCCTGTGACCCTGAGGAAGGTCTGAGGGTCTCACAAAAACCTCCGCAAGTCAAGGTTTAGGGACCACAGTTTTATGCTGTGTTAATAAAGCCGTTTTAACATTATTCAGTGTTTGCAAGGCATGATCTGCTATTGTTGTGACATTTTCAAGGCTTTCCTATGTAAAAAGTGTAACCAATGAAAGCAAATGTATGTAAGCAATGCAAAGGAATATAAGCAAACAAATAGAAAGTGAAGATTGGGTCTTGATTGTATGCTGCAGACTTACTGCTTCTATAACAGGAAAGTAATGCTCTTAAAACAATTGTTAACTGCATTTAAGCTGTTTTGAAACTTCATTATTGATTTATTACAGAAAATTGGTATGGGAGGAGAAAATAATCAGTCATTCCTGTAATGTATGGTAACTGATTTTTGTAGCCTTATGAACGTAGAGCTCATTTTGTTAGGTTTATGAATGATCATTAAAGGATTTGTAAAATCTCGCTGCATGCACACGTGCCCCAGAAGTCTACTGTGCAATTTGAAAAGTTAATTATATGCTAAACTTCTTGTGAGCCAGATATGAAGTCAACAATTGGGGCTTTACCTAATGTCCATATGGAGAACTGATTTAAATCAATTACCATAGTTGGAGTTGCTTAAAAAAAATTGCAACTATAAATGAGCCCTTGGGGCAAAGCACTGGCACTAGCTCACTGATGACGTCTCACATTTATTTTATAATTTTAAACAAATGTGAATCTGAAATTACTTCCTGTCTTGTAATGTGACTGATTTCTGCTATCTTCTGAATTTTGTACATCTGTAGGTACTGGTGGTATCCACGTTGTATCTCCACATATCTTTCCATTTGGATAAAACAAAGCAACTTTGAAGGCACAAAATCGCTAATACTATTGTTGTTCCATATTTCGGCATTTGAAACCTTATCTCTAGTTTTGTGTGCATACATTATAACTGTCTTTTAATAAAAGATCTTTCATTATTTTAGTATAAATAAAAATAAATTCATCATGCATTAAAAATTAGGTCTATAGTGTTTCTCAAACCATGATCATTGTTATTAAATGATTAATTTATTGATTATAACTAATTCTTAGTAGATAGAGTGCGAGTCCTTTTCCCACACATATATGCTAGTCCTACTTCCACAGTTACTTATTATCAGTATTAAAAGTTGTGGATGTGGAATGAATTCATTCATTTATATGATACAATTTTGTAATGCCCAGCTAGATCCATCAATTTTATTGAGTCTTGGAGACTCAGTAAATCAAAATTAGTCTAAAATGTGACCAAGGCATCAAAGAGCAGAGCTTGCAGGGTGTCCTTTTCAAAACTATTGTCAGGACAATTCAGCCTTTATAGTGCTGTGGGCCAGAGGAGTATCAGTGTACCTACGAGAGGCGGTTGGGCTAGGACGCCGCTCTGTCAGCACACGAGCTGCCTTGTGTCGCAGTCGGGTATGAAATACTCCAGTTCCTTCTTGCTGGAGCTACAAACCTCATGATGGGCTGGCAGCCCATCTGACCACCTCTTCATCAAGCGTGGCAGGCTCTGATAGACCAGGTGGATTCAGTCTGGGAGATGCTAATTGGTTAATGTGGGCCTAAATGACTAAGAAAGTTCATTTTCAATTGTTGTTTAGCTATAGAGGAAGGTATTGACATGAGCTGATTTAAGTGCCTAGATGAAATGGCCAGTTTAGGAGCTCTGTTAGTAAAGAAAGGGATCGCTCTCAGGACAGTGGTTCAGAAAGGGATGCTAAGGTGGCTCTGAAGTGATCTCGGAAGACCCATCTGCCCTTTTGA